CATAGGGTAGTGCTGTCATTTAGAATTAAAAGGAAACAGTAGAAACTCAAGATTACAACTTTTGGTGTAGAAAAATTAGCATTGATCGAAAAAGCCTTGCCCCTTCGAGGATTAATTATAACAAAATTATCAATTTCTTCCTACATATCTTGAATGATTATTTTTAAAGACATTCATGAATTTGTAACTTTCACAACTAAAATATATTATTTTATAATTAACCTATTTCAGGGTATAAAAATACTTTTCAATTTAATGAAATAAAAATATAAATATAATTAAAAATAAATTAAAATTAAAATATTATATAAAAAATATAAATATAATTAAAATATAAATTAAATTTAAATATAAATTAATATAAATTAAAAATAAAATAGCTAAAAAATTATAGGTATAATAGCTAAAAAACAATTTGACAGATATATATTTTTAAATGACTCTAATCTGATTATTAATCTGTATATTAATGAATAAATAAGATTTTTTTAGCTTTTAAATTTACCAACATACATGCAATATTTCTTCTAACAGAGTAAGTTATTTTTAAGAGACCAATTAAATATGAATACATCTTTTGCCCTTTTCATTGGAAACTCAGAATTTAGTTATTTCTCAAAAAATAATTCCTGGTACAGTCAAAAGTCGTTAATTCGGACACCCATAATCCGGATCTCAAAGCTACAAACTTTCTGCGCATGCGTCGAGTTGACGCATGTGCGTGATACCTTTACGGCTGTGAATAGGCGTGTGCACGTGCGCAAAATACGTTTACGAATGCGCGTTTAATGTATAACGGACGGTATAAACTAAGATAAAATAATCTAATTCAGATAATGTTGCAGATTGCGCTGTTCCTTAATCTTCTAATTGGATCCGTCTTATTATTTTTTGCAGACTGTTAGAGCAATTTTATAAAAGTAAGCTTGAACTTTCGATTATGTCAAAAAGAATTTCCGATTCTGGAGCTGCCAAAGGATCTACAAAGCAAAAGCATGTTTCGATGTCCATTAAACAAAAAGTGGAATTGCTTAAAAAAATGGATAAAAGCATGAAGAAAGTGACAGAGAGGTGATTTGTTTCTCTAACCATTCAGAAATCTTTTTATCAATTTCACGCTGCTCTGCGGGGGGGGGGGGGGGGGGGTGGACGTCGCGGCACGCAATGAACTGGAAGTTGATCTGTCAGCATTATCCTCATCTTCAGGGCAGATGTTTTTATTTTATTCGACTTATAATTCCTTACTAAATGTAGTGTTTCATCTTGATGTACTCCAATATGATTTAAATCAATTTCCTCGTCATTATAAATATCACGAATACGCATAAAATAGTTTTCTGGTTGCAATTTTCTAATTTCCACTATGCGTAATGTATGCTTTACACATGTGCGCATTGAAAGAAATAATTTGTTTAATAAAGTAAACAAATAAATATTAAGCTTTTTTATGTAAATTTTGATACCCTTTAGATTATAATTGTTCTTTATTTCATAAATTACAGTTTCAAATTTTTAATTTTATAATTTCTGCATGCCATCTTACCAGATTTAAACTAGTGATCTATAATCCGGAATCGCCGAAGTCCCGACGAGTCCGGATTAACGACTTTTGACTGTACTTGGCCCTGATTTGCATGTTTGAAGTCATCAGTGACTGATTTTTATATTTAAAAACTCTTTATCAATTCACCAAAAATAAATTCTTTATTTGACTGATTTATCTTTCATCCACTCCTGCTATATAAATATGCAAAAAACAACAAATGTATACATCTATGTATACATACAGCAGAGGTCTGTATTCATAGTTAGAGATAAATAAACTCTTTATCCAAATCAAAAGGGTGTAAACATTTGAAATTTAACTTTTTCACATAACTCAAACAACATATATTTAGTGGTTAAAGATAAAAATCCGATATATGCACCACAACTTCCTTGTATGGCCTCTTAAATTATACACATTTTTTGCTGGACTTTATTTAAAGTTATTTCCTCAAATTACACTAACTTATTTAACCGATCCCTCAAAGCAAACGGAAAATGAATGAAAATTTTGATATTAAATATCCTAGTCAATTTTTGTCATATGGGAGTAAAACTACTTTTAATTTTATTTTTTTATTACGAATATAAAATTTCCCCAAATATAAGTATAGGAATTGGGATATTGTATTAAAAGTTAAATATCTTTATTTGTCGAAAATAAATTAAAAAAAAAATTGATATTGCCAAAACATGAATACTTTTGTTATCTAAAATACTTCTAACTAGAAATACAGTCAAAAGTCTTTAATCCGGACTTGTCAGGGCGATTCCAGATTATTGGTTTTTCCGGATTATAGATCATCAATTTAAATCTGGTAAGATGGCATGCAGAAATTATAAAATTAAAAATGTGAAACCGTAATTTATGAAATAAAGAGCAATTATGATCTAAAGGGTAACAAAATTTACAAAAAAAAAAAAAAAAAAAAAAAAAAAGCTTAATATTTATTTGTTTATTTTATTAAACATTTCTTTCAACACGTGCATGCGTAAAGCATACATTACGCATAGTCGAAATTAGAAAACTGCAACCAGAAAACTATTTGATGTGTATTCATGATATTTATAATGATGAGGAATTTGATTTAAATCATATCAAAGATGGAGTACATCGAGATGAAATACTACATTTAGTAAAGAATTATAAGCCGAATAGAATACAAACATCTGCCCTGAAGATAAGGATAGTGCTGACAGAACAACTTTGTAGCTTTGATGTCCGGATTATGGATGTCCGGATTAAAGACTTTTGACTGTAGTTCCTGTGCTCGGTACAAGGAAGTAAAAATAGATAGACACTAAGTGGCTAGTTTGTAGATTATGATTTAATGTTTCATTCCCTAAATCAGTGCTCCGCAACCTCTTCTCACCTGCGACGCACAAAAAATCTTTCTGGAATTTCGTGGCACACCAAAGAGTTCCGAGTTATCAAGGAAGTACCAAAAAAATTCAAATGCTGACACACTTACAATCACACACACAACCACACAACAGTGAAATATATAAAAACATTTAAAATAGACATTATTAAGGAAAAAAAAATTGTCATTGTATATTAAATACATGATAAAAAATTGCAAAATGTCAAATACATGTATTTGATTGAGGCACACCTATATCCTACTCATGGCACACCAGTGTGCCGCGGCACACCGGTTGCGGAGCACTGCCCTAAATAGTCCTAAATAGTGAGCTCAGCATAGAATATATGAGATGTTGGTAGGTGATATGAGGAATATGATATCATATCTTATGAACAGCTCTTTCTGGCTACCAAGATTTAATAAAATGATTTTAGCTGTTTGATGTCTCTTTTTAAAGGCTCAAACAGATTGAGATCTGGCAAATATGAAAGCCCGTTTATCAAACTGAAACATTTACCACGCTTATCTAACCATCTGAGATCTCTATGACATGAAAAAGTATCCTGGTGGAAGTATTCATCTTCATTTTAAAGTCAACTATTAGAACAACTGGTTATATTGGAGCAATGGTATATTTTTTATTGTTATTTCACATGAAGAATAAAATAACAGGTTAAAACAATGCCAGGAAAAAATCCCCAAAAGAATAATACCAAGCTTGAAGTGCTGAATGTCCACTTTTTCATGTCATTTCCCTCCCTTTTTTGGCACTGCCATCTACCTTGTACAATTAAAAATCCCTGACATCCATTAACTTTCCAAATGTTGTTATTTTATGCACAAACATACTGAATCTTATTACCAGCCTGGATCTGTGAGCAAACAGAAAAGATCAAGCAAAAACAGGTATTCAACTTCCATATCCAATACACTACTCAGCAAACAATACATTCAAAAGCCACTAGCTGATTTTTTACTACAATTAGCTCTCATATGACCTACTACCTTTTAATTACTCAGAAACTAACTCTACAAGGTATTTCTCCGGCCTTTTAGCATGCCTTAATAGTGTAGTGGACAGCACACTCAATGCATATTTGAGAGGTCCGTGGTTGGAGTACTAGCGAGGGCATTGCTCATTTTTGTACTCTGCTTCCTTAAAAAAAAAAAAAAAAAACCTGAACTAAAAAAGGTGATGGATGATATGATTCTTCACCACAAGGATTTGGCGACCGGGTCTCCTAATCCCCAGTTGATCTTAAAAAAAAAGGGTATAAAAGGTATTTCTCCCACCTTTTAGCATGTCTTCGTGGTGTAGTGGTCAGCACATATTCGAGAGGTCCGTGGTTTGAGTCCCGGCGAGGACACTGCTCATTTTTTATCTCTCCTGCTTCGAAACAACCTAATGTCGCTACAAAACTAGTTTTTTTCACAAAAATGTACTTTAACTGTCTTTACAATCATTCAGTAATCCTTTTTATATCACTCTTGCTTAATAGAGGCAACAGAATGATGATATATAGCTGTTCTGCATAAAACTGTTACGTAAAAACTGGTGACTGAACATGTATCAAAATGTTAAGTAAGCATATATATTGCAATATATTTCTGAATCTGTTATTTTTGGATTTTGATACTATTTCTTAAATGTACAACTTCAATCAAACAATTTACACTTATGCTACACAAATGACGACAGGGAGGAGGAAAAAACACTGTTTTTCTACAAATAATTTTACATCTGCTACATATAACTAAAGATTTAAAAATTAGAGATACTACAATATTTCCAGCTTACTGGGGAAAGGTATCTAAATTTAAAGTTTGAGAAATAATTCACTGCAACAGGTGCATATTAATGTGGTGAATTATGAAATCCCTGGATTTTACAATTTCTAAACAATTATAATTTTTAAAATAAGTCCTTCAATAATGAATAATTAATTTTGATTATTAAAATTATAAATTTCAATAATGAATTATTAAAATCGTTAATTTTACAGATATGCTGTGTGATAACAAAACAGACATTTAATTATAGCAAAATGTTATTTATATGTTGTTTAATATCTAAAAAACATTTCATACCTACGCTATTTAAAGCATTAGACCTCCTCTTCTCATTGTATAAATAATGAGCACAAATTTTCATCAGAGGCATTCTTAGAAATTCTTTCAGATTTTCTTGAGTTGCCCACTTATTTGAAGATATCACATAGTGAAAAGAATTCCAAATATTTGGATATTCTTTGCTTTGTAAAACTTCCTTCATGATTGACAGATCTTTCTCCGAAAAGTAAGATGTTATAACAGAATCCCCTAAAAGGAATATATATATATGTTACCATAAAAGTTTGAAGTCCGGTAAAACCTACCTTTTACCAAAGTGGCCTGGTAAAAATATGCTCTAATAAGATTCTATTTCGGGCTTTTACCAAGCTTTTGCATAAATTCTAGGAGTTACTAATGTCTTCCGGTAAAAGGCATTCCGGCAACACTTTTCTGTTCCTCCCTCCCTTAATTTGTAGTCTAGATTCGAGCGAATTCAAACAAGTAGCTACAATCTAAAATAGAAGCAGTTTGTTTCCATTTTAACACATTTTTTATTTTTTATTTTGTTGAAAATGAGTGATGTTATGTGGAAATGTTTTATGACATTTTGCTTGAATCTGTAAAAAATAAACAGGATATCAGCTTTTATTTAACAAATGAGAAGTACACTTCATTTAGAAGCAAAATGCGTGAAGGAAAAACAAAGAGCTCGCTACAGAAGGTTGAAACGCTATGATATTCTAAATATTGGAGGAGAGAACAAACATACGGCACCACTGTCTGCAGAAAAAGCAGAAATCCTGTATTATGTTACAACTGATGACGTTTTTAATGTCATACATGACGGAGTTGGCCATGGTGGAAGAACCCACATGATTAAAGAACTGAATCGCAAGTACAAGAATGTTACAGTAGAATCTATCGTCACATATTTGAGACTACCATACCAGAAAAAACAAAAATCTACGAAAAAGGGGATTGTAATCAAACCAATTGTGCATAGCGAAATCAATTCTTGATGTCAAGTTGACCTAATAGATATGAAATTCATTTTAGTGTATCAAGATCATCTTGCAAAATTCATCCTACTCTGACGTATACATAGTAAAGAGCTGACAAATTAGCATACCACCTTCTGGAGATTTACATAACTTTTGGAGCCCCAAACATTTTCCACTCCGACAATGGGAGGGAATTTTGCAACCAAATCATGAACATTTTATGCGAAATGTGGAGTGATATAAAAATAGTTCACGGTAAACCGAGACACAGCCAATAGCAAGGTTCTGTCGAATGGGTGAACCAGGGCATTAACAATATGCTGGCAACATGGATGGAAACAAATAAGACAGAAAAGTGGTTGGCAGGATTAAAATTGTTTCAAGCAATGAAAAACAAAGCATATCATGAGGGAATCAAATGTTCACCTTACGAAGCTATGTTGTTCTATAAAGCTGGGACTTGCTAATTCAGTTTTGCCATGCAATTTTATTAGTAACATGGCCACTGAAGAGGACTGAGAAAAAATTATGAATGCATGGTTAATACAGAAGATGAAGACACTAATCTCGAACCAACACTTAATTTAGAATCACAAGATAATAATAATAGAAGTAAAAAAGGACCATGTATAACGATGGAAATAGATACTAAAGCTCAAATTGTAAAAAAAAAAAAAAAAAAAAAAAAAAGAGGGGGGGGGAAGAACTAAATTCATATACTTAGGCACAACAGGTTCGATTATCAAGAAAGTTCAAAATATAGTGTTTCGAGAGACAGCTAAGGAAGGACTTGAGAAGCACGCAAAGAAGATGAAGACTGAGTCTACTAAAAACTTTCCGAAACCTACTCTCAGACAAAATGTTAAAATAAAAGTACCCGGTATTGATAGATCAAAAATGGATCCAAAATCAGTAATAGCCATTATTACAGATACTGTTGAGTCACGATCAAACTCAATGAGAGGTAAGTTTCTCTGTTACGGAATGGCAACGAGAGACAGATTGTTGTTCGGAAAGATGGATGACCGAATTCCGTTGTAACGACCATTTTGTGGATGTCGCGTATTGTAAATAAACCTATTACACTGTGCTAAAAACAGTAGTAAAATGCTATCTATTAAAGATCTTTCACCCAATCTAATTTTTAACAAACCGCTCATTATTTTCGTTTAAACTCACAATGATGTTCAGGACATTTCTGGAGCTCCCGGGTGAGCATGTTTGTTGGAAACCTATCGGATGAAAGAATAGATAGGGTAAGTTGATTACCTTATATACTTTTGTTTTGAAGTTGACTATTGTTTTACTGAAGTTTAAATACTATTCTTGCCTAATTTCTTTCTGAATATTTTAAACTTTTAAGACAAACTGGAAGTGATGAAAAGAAACAAAACTGTGCAATGTTCAGTTTTTACTAAAGCATATAAAAGGCTAGATGTACTTTTAAATGATGTTAAAGTTGATTATGAAGAAGCAGAAATGCGTTTTTATTTGTTCAAAAAATAGGCAGAAACATTAGAATTGATGCACAGTGCTTATTTAGATATTATAACTGAAGATAAAGAATTAGAAACAGAATTTGAAATAGTAGAGGACTATCGAGAAAAGACGGTAAGGATACAGTTAAAATCGGAATGATTTCTCAATAATATCAAGAGGAAACTAAATGAAATCCAAAATACACCATCAGAGAGTAGTCAGAAATTAGTTACTGATGAAAATACATGTAAAGCTTTGTGCCAATGTCTACCGAAAGCAGAACTTTATAAGTTCGAAGGTGATTTAAAAAAATTGGCTTATGTGTTCTAGAATCAGTTTAAAAACATACATGAAAATAATAACTCAACGAATGTAAATTCCATTACTTGATACAGTCAACAAAAATTAAATCAGAAGCTAGAGATATTGTCGAACTTTTTTCCTGTGATGAACGAAAATTATCCTTTTGCCATACAAAGCCTCACCGAGAGATATGGCCGTAAAGAACTTTTAATTGATTTTTATGTTCGAGATTTAATAAAACTTGTTTTGGATAAAGCAGCAAAAAAGAAGCAGGATTCTTTGAGCAGTTTGTATAACAAACTTTCATCACAACTTAGAGACCTGAGCAGTCTCAGTGTCTCGGTGAACAATTTTATACCCTCTCGTGGAAAAAGCTATTCATGTATTGCGATCATTTGAAAGACAAAGAAAATTTACTGAGTCTGAACAAAACATTTTGAGTCTTGATGCAATAATTTAATTTTTGAAAAGCGAAGTTCAGTCAGAAGAAAAAATAAAATTAAGCAGAGCAGATATTTTTTCTCTGTCTCATCGTAAGCACTTGTCAACTAGAAAAACAAAATATTCCTTCTGCGAGTGATTTGATGAATCATGAAGCAATACCTTCTTGTTCGTTTTGTTTAAAGGATCATGAAACGCGTAATTGTAAAAAAGCGTTTTATATTCAGTTAGATGAAAAAATGTCTGTAGTAAAAAAGAAAGATTTATGCAGAATATGCTTGGTTAAAGGTCATCTCAGTAACCAGTGTTGATTAAATGTTAAGTGTCAGATCTGCTCAAAAAGACATTTGAAATTTTTTTTGTACTAGTCCTGAATGTAATAAGTGAAATGCATAACCAAGAAAATGATGAGAAAAACGAGAAGACAATTGATTCTTTGCATTTGCATGCTATGAATGAAGTTTTCCTTCAGACCCTGGTTGTAAACATGGAGTGTAAGAATAAAAGGCGTAAAGTTAGATTAATGATTGATACCAGAAGCTAAAAAAGTCATGTTTTGAAGTATACTGCAGAAGAAATGGGTTTTGACTTACAATGGGAGGAAGAATTTAGTCACTCTTTATTCGGTGGAACGAAAACTGAAATTTACAAACTTAAAAGTTACAAGATTTATTTCAGTAGCCTTGATGGTAATTATTCATGCAAATTAGATGTTGTAGACTATGACGTTATTTGTAATGATATTTCAAGCATAAGATACGGTTCTTGGATTTGCGAATTAGGAAATAAAGGAATACCCTTAACTGATATCCATGGGAATCCAGGCCCTATTGAAGTACTGTTAGGGGCAGACATTGCAGGGAAGTTTCTTAGTGGCGAAAGAGAAGAAGAGGTTTAGTGGCTATAGAAACAAAATTGGGTTGGGCTTTGATGGGTAAAGTACCTCAATCCCAACATCAGCACAATGTAAATATGACTATAGTTTCTATGTTACCTCAAGAAGACTTGCCTATTTTATCGTCGTGGGACTTAGAATTATTGGGTATCTGAGATCCTGTTGAACAAAAAACTAAAGAAGAGTCAAGAAGAGCTGTTACGGTTCATTTCCAAGAAACAATTCGTCAAATAGAAAATGGTAGATACGAAGTTAATATGCCTTGGAAAATTGAGCATGCAGTCTTACCTGACAATTATGACCTATGTTTGAAAAGACTAGAATCTATTACGAAGAAGTTGGAAAAAAATCGGATATCGTGAAAAATATCAAGAAGTCTTTAATATCATTTAAATATCAAGAAGTCTTTAATGGCATACATATCGCAATTTTTTATTTTTATTTCTTGTAACTCTTAGAAAAATAATTGTACGAGAGTTCCAACAACATAATCTTAAATCAAACCTTATTTTAATCACTTTTACAATTTAGATTATAAATTACAAAAATAAAGTTGTTTTGACCTTCTGGGGGCACACTATATACAATATACCTGTGGATAGAAAAACCTATCATAAGTAAATTCTCGTTTTGGCTTTTAGCGGAAGGCGTTGGTAACTCCTAGGATTTACCGCAAAGGCTTGGTGAAAGCTCGAAATGGAATCATAAAGCCTACTTCAGACTTTTACCAAGACACTTTGGTAAAAGTTTGGTTTTACCGGTAAAATTTATGATTTATCACACTTTGTGCTTTTACAGTAACATACATATATATATATGTAAGGAGGAAAAAATAAAGGATATATTATTATTATAATTACTCACAATAGAATATTGAACTATAAAACATTATATTAAAAAAACAGTTTTTATGTTTGCATACTAGAGATTTAATTTTTTTAAGGAAAGTGCACAGCAAAAGCCACCTAAAGTCATTGAGGGTAGTTATCAAATTTTCATAATAATTAGAATAAATTTCTACAAGGACTGACAGCAATTTTACTACGATCAAAATGAACTCTGCAAAGTCAAGGAAATGTATAATACTTAAAGAATAAGAAAATTTATTGAAATATTCAATCTCATGTTTATACATGAAATATATTGTTAGAACAATTAAATGTTTAATAGAAATATTATTTCACGAATTTAAGCTAATATAAGCAGAACACAAGGTTTTTATTTTACCCTATTTAAACTATGCATGTACTGAAAAAAAAACTAATTTTAATTTTCCTCATTTAAATTTACGTATAGAGAACAAAAAATTCTGTTAAGTATTTGCATTTTTCCAGTTCCAGTTTGCCACTTTGGTGAAACTGACATATATATTCATTTAATCACTGTTAACTTTATTAAAAGTAAACATTTGCTCAAAAAATGCATAAATACTGTATTTTACGGCATATAAGACGCACCCTCATTTAGAAGGCCACACACATGTAGGTGTAGAAAAAGTTATGTGTGTCTAGACCTTTATCGGGCAATACAGATTGAAAAAGTTAAACCTGGTCCTTCAGTATAGACGCAGGGTAATTTTTTGAGACCAAATTTAGGAAAAAAAGTGAGTCTTATATGCCATCAAATACAGTAATACTTATCTGAAATGTAAAAAATAATACTTAAATTTATGATTTTCTTTAACAGAATACAAATTATATGACATTTGAGAGACACACACACACCATTCATCATTTTTTTGATTTCCAAAAGTAACCAGTCACGAAAACCTGGGATTGGAGACAAAGATGACAATTTGTTTATGTGTGGAAACTCAGAAAGAACTTCATGCACAACCTTCTTAATTAACTGATTTCCTAATTCAATGCCATGAAGACCTGAAATATTAAAATTTTTGTTAAAAAGTATTTCCATTATAATAATATTACCACATATTTTTTGAATAGTAATTTTTTAGTAAAAACCAAAATAACAAAAAGGAAAATGTGAAAATTTTTTCATTGTAATAATACTGCCACACACTTTTTGAATTAATTTAATTTTTTTAGTAAAAACAGAAATACCAAAAAGGAAATAAAAAAAAAGTAAATAATGGTTAAAATTGCAGGCAACTCAATTCTTTGCATTTAATGAGAACTAGAATGAGAACTACTTGCTAGGAACTCAGAATGCATGCAGTAAATAATGTAACTATCACAAAGAAAGCAGGCTTGCACTTTTATGTCCTGCAGTCAAAAACTGCTCATAACTTCAAATGAGATACAAAAGGGAACCACCAATAGAGGAAGGAATAGAAGGAGACATGTTTCTTACATCATGACTGATGCAGTGTTTCTAAGCTTTGATAACTAAGGTGGTGTGGCACATTTGTTGACATCCAGAGCACATTACCTTGACAGTGGTTTAGTGGTACATCTGCCCATAACAATTCTGCACAAACTGAAGAACAAGGATGCTTCCACCAAAGAAACATTTATTGCGCTGGATGAGTAATAATAGTTTGCATAGTTTTGCGGCATTTTCGCACAAATCACATCTTGGCTATCTCTCAGTAACTTACAATAGTGACTTTGATTATTACCTTGTTTTATAAAATTCTAAGCTACTAGACAGCATAAATTTTAGCAAAATGTTTATTTTACATTACAGAGTGATAAGAATCTTTACAATGTTAAAATATCTAAAAAATATAGCATATTTTAAAGCTCAATTTCTTTATAACTAAATTGTATAAGGTAAAACATTTGTATACTTCTTTCATTGTCAGTGATAGTGAATTTTCTAATTTTATTTTATGTTCCAATCAGCTTCATGGATAAACAAATCACTATTTATAACTGTTTCTTTTTCTTTTCCTTTTTTTACCAAAATAGAAAAATAATGTATAGTTAAAATAACAAAATTAGATTTTCTTAAAAAATAAATTTAAAAAAAAAATTATTTTTTTTTTAGATTCTCTAATCGACAATTTAAAGTTAATGTTTAGGGAAGAGGCATAATAGTTGCTTATTTTAAACTCACTCAGGCTTTATATAATTGAAAAACATTATTTTTTTCAACATTTTATTTCCTTTGGGTTATTAATCCCTAAGTAAAAGGAGGAGAGATTAAGTAGTAGTTTGTTAATTTTAAAACAGTTCCATGGAAAAAAAAAATTAATTGGCATTTCAATACATTTTGAATTTCCTTCCAGTTTTGGATTTCAGATATTTGTGAATTTAGATTAATTAGTTGTTTTAACTGTTTCACAAATGAAGCAAAGTTGATTATGCAGAGTAAGGCAATCAAGATTGTGATCTGGTGATGATGAGGTTAATGTTTAAATGTGAAATGGATAGTTGCTATTTTTGTTATATTACCAGAGAGCAAATAAATTGTGCAAAATTGCTAAGATTGATACTAAATGCTCTGTCAAAATATATTTACTGAAAAATTTGAATTTGATAATGAATGTATCTCCAAACATGTTTTAAATCAAGAGTTTGCAACTTGATGGCTAAATGTAAATATAAAATTAGGCATGTTAAAATATTTGTAATTCAGCACATATATCAAGTTAAGATTTTTAAATAGGGTAAAGTATGCAAGGACTATCTACCTAAGAGAAAAGAACATGAATGTCTCAGGATAACTGATTTTTTGAGTGTGTTAAAATAATGCATGCAATTTTCATTCCATTTATTTGTACACATATGTTTCACATAAAAATTCTGATATATACTAAATTATTGAAAATAACTTTACTTGAAAAACATAGTTACTGCACAGAAAATAAAGCTTTCCCCATGTTGAAAATGAAAAATATTAAATATATATGAGTATTTATGCACATCTTTTCTTTTCTTCTCTTCTTCTTTTTTTTTTTTTTTTTTAAAGAAAACATGCATTTGCTCGTAAGTAAGTATGAAATATTGGGAAATGAGATTTATCACCCCTGAATGCCGTGAAGTTTATTATGAATATATTAATTTTAAGATTAATATGATCTTAATTATTTACTTTAATTGTAAACATAAATGAAATCTGTTGACAAATATGTGTATTAACATTTAAACAATAATTGTTCATAAGGAAACAAATTTATAAAAGGGTCTGTCAAGATTGTATATAAGATGCATAAAAGAAGTGGCAAAGTAGAATATAAGTTGTAAAATTTCAAAGGTCAGAAAATATTTTTGATAACGATGAAAAGAATTATTTCCGTAATAAGTCAGTTTAAGTTTAATAATATTAATAATTTTAAATAATAACATAAAACTGTATTTGCTAAATTACAATTAAACTGTTAATTTCTTTCACAAGATGTACTTTAATAATGAAAAAATGTTCAATGTTTTGAGTACTTAGTATTTATAACAGATGAAGCACAGGAAACTGCATGTAGTCAGACATCTCTGCTATCATATTTTCTGCTAAATATTTTCCTGGAGCTACAAATATTGTAACATGGCAAAGATTTGTATCTGTATTTTCAAGAAATGAGTTTATCAACTTAATGCAAAATCCAGCATTCATCAATTTATATACATTGCACAAGATTAAACTTTAGACATTCTCTGAATAACAAAATCCATATTTAAATATCTTTGTCATAGACAGAAACCACTACAACTGTCAAATTTATCACTTACTCACCCCTCCAAGAAATTAAAACATAAAGCTGTATATACTTAGTTTGTGAATATAAAGTATATAACTACTAACTCTTCTTCTTCTAACAGGAGATTTTCAGTTTTTCCTCATATCTCCTGGCAGATCACATATCCCAGTTTTTAATTTTTTGCCTCTTATTCCACTGTTACTGATACAACGGTGTTTTTCATCAATCAGACTGTAGAACGAATATAAATGACCAAGATGATCATGTGAGGCATCAAGTGAAGAAAAGCACAAAAAGCTTCTCATTGAAAATACTGAATCTGTGTAAATGTTTACGTTGAAGTGAAGCGAAAGGATTGTAAAAAGTGACAAGATTGTTTCATATTACTACTTGCTGCATTTGTTTGCACATGTACTTTAAGTTTTCAATTAGTTATTAACTAATTTCACTATTTGGCATTAGTTATTAATTTTATCTCCACCATCTTAAAAAATAATTCGATAAATAAAAGATTTTTTTTTCTTCTCAGGACTTTGACAGTATAAAAGTTTAAGAAAATTACAAATAAAATGAATTAAGTCACAATTAAATTTAGACTATAATATATTTTATACTAGAATCATATCACAAATAGTTCAACAATTTAAATCATACATTGAAAAGTGAATTAATATAATTTGGCATTCTCTGAAACCATGTTATTTGAACACCGCCCAGTGTTTGTGGAAAAATCACCCATTTTCTCAGATTTCAAGTTTGACAGCTATAAAAGCGTATTTGAAGCAGATAAGTGTAGCCTTTATCATACAGACATTTCATCTATAATGTTAGAAAATATTTGCACATTTTAATCTAAAATGATTAAAAACAATCAAGTTAATAAACTTAGATAATTTGAAGAAACAACTACCTAAAAAATCTTTAAATTTTAGAGTTCACTTGAATTGCTGAAATTGTAAACTGAAAATGCTGCTAATACACCCTAAAATAAGCTTTCTATCATCTGTAACTAAAAGATATAAATCAAAAGCATAGTAATTGATTGAAGAAACAAAATTATCAGCACTACTGTATAATTAATCACTTAATAATATGCTATGTAATTTAAGAATGCCTATAATCTGTAAAAAGCATATAGCTTTATTAATGGAATAATGTGCTCCTTTTAATGCATCAATATAATAAAAAAAAATTCATATAAACATAGAATAAAAGAAAATATTCTACTATAACTTTTCATTAGTCAAGAAAATAATCTGATTACCTTTCTGAGTTGAAGTAATTGAATAAAAAACAGCAGCTTGTATTTTTTGAGCATCTTCAAGCTGATTTTCAACATTCTTTAATAATAAAACATCACCCTCAGAAATGCGTTTAGTTTGCCTCACAATGGACTAAATTTTGTATAAAAATTACAAAAATTAATTTTCTGCAGAACAGAAAGACACAGCATACTATACCAACCCAAATATAACACAATTTTTTCCATTAAAATAGACTTCTGAAACTTGAAAAGTACAATTACAAAAAAGATGGGCAAGAAGAAGATATAACTTTATTAAAAGAAAACATATGTATGTAGTAGAGTACAAAGTCTGTAATCCGGACGTCCATTATCTGGAATGATCTGTAATCTGGACTTAAAGCAACAAACTTTTTTTTGTATGCTTTACCCACGCGCGTTTAATGTTTACGCATGCGCTTTTAGCACAAAAACTGAAGCAACTTAAACTGAAAGAAATGTTTAATAAAGTAAACAAATAAATATTAAGTTTTTTTTTTTTTTTGTACTTTTGATACCTTCGATAGATTGCTCTTATTCAAATACGGTTCAATTTTAAGGGTATATTTCTGCATGCCATCTTACCAGATTTAAATTGATGATCTATAATCTAGAAAAACCCTTAATTCAGAATCACCGAAGTCCCGACAAGTCCGGATTACGGACTTTGTACTGTATTACCCAGAAATATGATAGATAAATAAACCATTTAACTACCTTTCTTGTAAAGCATTTTCAACATGTCACACTTTAATATGTAAGACTATTACACTATTACTATTATCTCAATGACAGATACCATTTTGTTACCTTTATTGGACAGCATTTTCAACATGTAACATTTCTAATATGTAAGACTATCCAATATGCAAGCTTTTCATTTTCTCACAAAGCACCTTCGAAAATGCAGCATCATTTTATAGGTGGGACAACATAGTGTGAAAAGAATAATATTAAACTATTTGATATATGCCGATATGGAGGACAAAATAGCTTTCAGACAGTGCTTTCCCACATACATATGCACTTCATTATTAAAAAATTCTGCATCATATAATAAAAAAATCATTTTAATAGTTCTATAATTTATTATTAAAATATTTAAAACATACAATCATACATCTACAAATCAACAATTTACTATCCCTACAGACCTTTAATCAAATTTTCTTAACAAGAAAACTATTATACCATAGCGTACAGCATAGCAGTGCACCATTGTACTATATCATTAAATACTATTTTATATAAGAAAAGTTTATATATTATATAAAATATGCTACATAAAAAATTAAGTTTAGCAGTAAAAAAGATACAGTTTAATTTTAAAAATATTAACTTCGTTCTTGATATACATAATCTTTGGCAGGGGAAGCTGAAGGATGTTTTGTCAGGAGTGATAAGGATCAGTAAATTATAAAAAAAAAAAATCTTTATAATAACACAGCAACAGAGTCATTTATTTCAACAAATTAATTATGAAAAAAGAAGAAATCAGTATGCTGTATTTCTACCTCTGAACCAATACAAGTGCTTTGTAGAGAGAAATAGTTCATGATATATATTACAGACTGGATATGGTGAACTGGCTAGCCAATTCCTCAACATTCTGGGATATAAATAAGGTTATCCCAGCAAGTGCTAAGTACACTTAATTGAGCCAGGTTGAGTAATTATGTTAGTTAAAGGAGGTTGCTAACATATGCAAGCAAACCTTGTAGTGGCCAAACACTGATTTATTGAAAAATGAATGCACTAATAAAGATGACAATAAAAGTGGTTTTACAATGACACTAACATATTATGCTACCACAAAGGCTGAAAGAAGAATTATCAAAGATGTCCGGCTCTCACTGGAAATGATTTCTCAAACATCAATCCGTATGTGGGAGAAAAATAACATTCTAAAATAAAAGTAAATTCTACATGGTGGTCAGCTCATTTTCAAACAGAGCCTGCCCATTAACATTCTGTCCAAATTAAACTTCCCCAACTCAGAGGCCTGTGCAGAGTGTTGTATGGG